TTCAGCGACAATTTATGGATAACTGATTATGGTTGGTATGGTCATTAGTATTCATACAATTTGTCGTATGCAACGTAGACGTTATCAGAGTATATTCTGAATTATGTTATAATAATAATAGGAAGAAGAATGAAGTTGTTGACAATCATTCATCATCAGCGGAGGCGGCAGTGGCACTACATCTACCCTCAATAAATGAGAATAGTATGGTTGAACCATGTCAATATGAAAAATTAGTTAGTTGACCAAATCGCGAATTAATCAGTAATAATTATCATAATGTCATTATCAATGAAAATGATTATTTGCAAAATAACAATATGTCTTCTGTCAGTTTGAATAATTATCCACCTCCGTATGGATCTATTACTGGTGATTATTAAAATCCGGTACATCCTATCGCTGATTCACCTTTTACTGCATCCCATTTCAACCTTAATAATTAATTCCTTAATAGAAAAATTAAAGATGTTTTGAAATGTGATTTCAAATAACTCATAATTTATTTTTACACTAAAATCACCTTTGAGTTGTTCGTTAATAGTTCTCGGTTGTGCTCAGGACTTACATTTCCCTCTTTTATCAATCCAGCATACCAAAATATTGATATTTTCACTGCTACTACAAACATAATTAGTCTCATATTGATTGGCTGCCATCCTATCTCTCTACTCCTCAAGGACTACCCTAAAGATATCGTCATTATTTAGCTGCACACAGAAAAAAAAGCAAACCACTCACTCTGAAGACAAGCAGAATAGCGAATTGCTCGAGCAGTAGAAAATTTCAAACTTTTTCGTCTAGTTATTAAAGCCACTATAGCAATTACTGCCAGCAGTACAGCTAAAGATAAAAATAAGCCGACATAAATTGCGATTTCTCGAGTTTTAAACATTTGTGAACTTGGCATCTTTGATGTAGTGGTCGGTGGTTTCATGTCTGAAAGGTGTATTCCCTTGGGAACAATTTTATTCATAGAGCCTAAAAGAAAGGTAAATTTATGTAGTATACGAAACTGAAACATAGTTCACGAGAAGTAATAAATTATTTTCGTTAGATAAGCGTATTTTTTAGAATCATTATTATGAATTTTCAAATAAATTTATTGGAACTTTAAGAACTAGTAATAAGTAATTTACTGAATCCACTTTAACTGTTAGGGTGGAATTCACTACCTACAATATACTTTCATCCTGTTTAATTTCTGTTAATTTTGAAGTATTAAGTTTAAAGAAACATTAAGTTGAATTACTTGTTAAGTAAAATGGTTCACTTGTTAGAAACTGACGATTTTATGCCTAATTACATTTTCTATTACAATAGATTATTCACAAAAAGCAAAATAAATTACTAGAATGAAAACAGACACTTATACTCTTGAAGTTCAACTAAATGACTATAAAGCATCCTAAAACCTCTCGTGGGTTGTGAATCACTTGAAAAGTACACAAGTTGTGAACAGAAGCACATCACATCATACGTTTACTATTGTCCATTTCTTAGGTATTTAAAAGATATTTTATTATGTGGATTCAATTAAATTAATCAAGTGAAAATCGATCATTCAATGGTCTTTTAGATTCTCATAGGTACAAAATTGAATTGGACAAATAATTCATTTCAAGCATGGTGTGGGTTTTATATCCGTACCTTGCATTACTTTTGTTTTTTACATGGATTACTCAAGTCGTTTATCTTAATTGCGTGGTTCAAACGAAGTTATTCAGGAAATAAGAAGACAAGCATGTTCACTAAACTTTATATTCAAAAGCTAGCTAAACGGAAATGAATGTCTCCGGTAATTATTTACCGTAGCTTTATTTAAGGCTGTGTCTCCGAGAGATGCACTGAATTTCACTGGTTTTTTTCCGAGTAACGTCTACTGCTATTTCCAAATGCTGTACAAACTGGTTTTAAAGGATTAATAAGGTGCTTTGTAAACTTGACAAAATTTCCTAAACCTGTCTTCTTCAATATCACTTACATTATTTATCATGTTATCTTATAATTCTGCTTCACATTATTTATATCTGTAACAAATAAGCCCCAAAAATGTGTAAAAACAATGATCAGCCAGCTTATATAATCTTAAAGTTGGCAGATATATTATATTTTTGACAAAATGTCCTCATATATCTGGTTAAGTCAATTTTATTACAATGTAAGGTCCTTATAATAAATGGCAAAATTATGCATGGAGGAAAGCTCATAAATTCATTTCAAGTGAAGACCGCACGAAGCTGCTAACTCTTCTTTTAACCCTTCCTTCTAGTGGTTGACTGGATGACGAAGTCGTCAACATCTCAGGAGAATCACGGAATACATTGGACAGCTGGGATGCAGCTGGACAATCTGAACTTCACAGATGATCTAGCCCTTTTAAACCAAACGCGACAACAAATGCAGGAAAAGATGGTCAGTGTAGTAGAAAGCTCTAAAGCAGCAGGTTTGAATATACTCAACAGAAAAAGTAAGATCTTTGATGCGTAACATGTACCAACAAAACCGCGATCAAGGGAGAAGCTTTAGAAATGTGGAAGCAATTACATACATTGGGCAGAATTATTGATAAACAAGGTAGATCTGATGTCCATGTGAAGACACGGATCAGCAAATCAAGGACAGTATTTATACAATCGCAGAACATACGGAACTCAATACAGCCGTCAGCTAACACCGAAGTCAAAATAAAAATGTCAAGACATCCTTATTATATGGGGTGGAAATTTGGAGAACTGCGAATGTCACCATCCGGAAGATACAAGTGTTGATTGGTAGTTGCTTACACATGATACTAGGGACCTGTTGGCCAGATACCGTCAGCAACAATGAACTGGTGGAGAGAACAAAGCGGATTCTATCTGAGGAAGAAATTAGGAAAAAGCACCGGAGGTGGATAGGACAGGCATTGAGGAAAGCACCCGAGTGTGTCTTAAGACAAGCAATTACTTGGAACCCTGAAGGCGAATGGAAAAGAAGGAGACCGAATTACACATAACACCGAGAATTGGAGACAGACTTCAAAAGAATAAACAGAAATGGGGTAGAAATGGAAAGCAAAGTCCAGGATAGAGTAGGCTAGAGAATGCTGGTCGGCGGTCTATCAGGAGTATGAGGCGTAAGTAATATCCTGATAGTAACTTTATGTTAGGTAATGCATGATGTATTACTAGGTGAATAGGAAAGATATTACTCAAAGCGTTAGCCAAGGCAGACAGAATTTTACTTACTGACACACTGACTTGCAGAGCAATTCCTTGTCTGGAATAAAGGCAAGGGACACTGATCCATTGCTAGATGATTCATATCAAGTGATTTCAATTCAGTTTTTGAAGTTATGTGATTGGCACATAAACGACTACGAGTTTGCTGACAAACTATTCGTGCATTGCTTCCGTCTGTTGTAAGTTTATGACATGCTCCCCACTCACCCCAACTAGTTAAATCACCAGCTAACGGTCGATTCATGACAGAATTATAAGCTGGAAGTAGGAAGTAGAAATCATTGTTTAAGAATTTCGATCGGAGTACAGTATTTTTAAAATTAATTTGTGATTAGAAAAAATATTTAAAAACAGTAGTTTCAGTTTACCAAATAATATAATTTAGCGTGCACTATGATAAAAAAAATCTTAATCCTTAGGTATTCAGCACAGATAATCCGACATTAGCCAAAGAGAATTAGTCACATGAAATTATATCTCAGCTGGTTGTTAGACAATGTGATAGAGATTTTTTTTAAACAAATGTAAGCACATGAAAATGTCCTAAATACAATTTACTACATACGAGTAAAAATATCGAAAATGCTCTCTTGTACCTTTATCATTTAATAAGTCAATTTCATTGAAATATTGTTATTTTCAGAACGTTGAAATTAGATGCGTTTCCACTGGGTGAATTTTCGACTAGTAATAACACATTTACTGTTCACTCTACCAATGTTGATAGTTGTTGAAAATTTCCAGTATTTTGGTGTGTCCAGTTACTGGTTTCATAGAAGACTCCAGATACTTAATCAAATTTATTCAACTGAACACAATAATCAGTAATGTTTACATTACCAACTGGTTATACACTTCTTGGATAAAAAATACAAACTAACTTGTATCTGATATCCTTAATAGCAACTTAATTTAGTTTTAGTTTTTAAGATGAAGAAAAACTGATTAGCTGTTATTTAGCTAAGCATGAATTAGTTGAATCTGTAATTAGAAGCAAAATTTTTTCAAGTTATCAGCCAACTGGATAAATAAACAAGTTATAAATACATTACGAGTTTGTGAAGAGTGTTAAGTTACACATTTTAAATCATGAATCGATCAATATTAGATCACCATTAGAAACCTGAAAGCACTGGACGGCCGTTTCGTCCTGGTATGGGACTCACCAGCAGTGCTCATCCACGACTCCTGAACGTTGCAGAATCCGAACCCCGGACCTTCGGTATTGTGCACGAACGCCTAACCTCTGGAAAAATATAAATAGCTTATTTTCCTAGCACTGCAAATGATAGTGGCCAGTATATGTAACTCCAAATAAATTTTCCATCATATTTTTCTCGATATTTTTGCGAAAGTAGTAATTATTTATCTGTGCTTCACTAAAAGTCACTATTTGAATTTTACTGGTGATTCTATATTAAAATATGAGCACATACAACTTGAAATCATATATGTCAATTCGGCAAAGTAATTTACATGGTACAATGAATAGAAGTTAAGTACTTTGTTTTCCATGAAATAGTTACATTATCCTATATATCGGAAAACTAATTGTCTTTCCAAAGGAAAACATTTTCTTGTCATAATTAACATTATTTTGTGCAAAAATAGGTCACTGGAAATTTTTAAAACTGTCCCAAATATAACTAACTTACTTTCCTTTTAATATTAAGCTCATACACTTGAATTTATAAATTAAAAAGGTAAACTTTGTATGAATATTTTATTTGCGCATTCAACTCAAAAGTGACATGATAAGGGTTTGATATTGTTACATATCATGTTGAGAAGCCTCTGTTGTGTTCATCTGGTTGATAAGTAGAAACAAAACTTTACTTCTTTATGGTTAATCAAAAAAAATATTCATTTGAGTAAAGTGAGCAATATTAAAGTTGTTGTAACAAACATTAAAAACACCGCCAGCTTATTGTTAGTGAGGGTGTCAATTAAAACAAAGAACATTATCATTTGGACTTACGGAAAATATTAACTCGAGCAACAGCACGTCTTTTCTCCCCATTAAGACAGGCTGCTACACATGTATAATTTCCACTGTCTGCAGTGGTTGTATTCTCTATGATCAAATGATTATAGTCATTAATAATAATGTGTGGAAATGATTTAACATCAACACGTTTTCCATCTTTTAACCAATAAACCTAAAATTAAAATGAAGGAAATGAAACCCATGAAGTATACAAAGGACAAAATAAATTTAGCAACTGTTCAGCGTTCAGTTTCTAGAGTACATTCCATCAGTCCATTGATCCTTAAATATTAATATTTCTGTGTTCGTACTTCTGGGTTAAAATCAGATTTATCGTTGGTATGGGCTAGGGTGAATAATTCGATTTCGAATTATTTTGATTTTTATCAGTAATAGCAAACTTATCAAACAATGAATAAAATCTCAAGCCTCTTCTCATTAAAAGTAACAGTGACCATTATTTTTAACTAACTAACTTCATTAACAGTTGTCTACACAAAATACTTCGGATTCGTTGGCCAGACATGATCAGCAACAACCTACTGTGGAAGAGAACAAACCAGATTCCAGTGGAAGAGGAAATCAGGAAGAGGCAGTGGAAGTGGATAGGGCACACACTCAGAAAAGCACTCAACTGCCTCACAAGACAAGCCCCCACATAGAAACGCAAGATGAGAGGATTAGAGGTAGGCCAAGGAACAAAATACTCCGAGAAATTGGAAAAGATTTGAGAGGAATGAACAAAAATTGAACAGAACTGGAAATGGAAGCCTGGGACAGAGTTAGCTGGAGAATACTGGTGGGCGGCCTATGCTTCATTGGGGGAGGAAAGTAAAGGAAGTAAGTAAAATTATTTTTAACTCAGTTTCGTAAGTTTCCTAAAATTAGAATCATGTATTCAATTTATGTTTGACTGATCAGCTTGGCAGTGTTGTTCGAAAAAGTTTTCTTGTTATACACAAAAGAAAACAATGATTAGGGTATCTATGTTTCTATAAATCAGACTGTAATGTCTATGGCATTTATTAACTAAATATTCTGTGAATTAATCCATCGTTGTAAAGTCTGTCACAGTATAACTCGTCAAATTATTTTGTTTCAAGGCAGTGCAAACAGTTTGAAGAAAATTTTGTTTACACGCTTTTCTTTTGCATTATCAGCCGGAACATTATTCATACTAATTAGTTTGATAAATTTGTCTAAACTAGTATTCACTTCCATCGACAAGATATTGAAATAATTTTCAGCAGAATCACTGAGGCATACTGTTATCCATTCCTCGGCTTTTTACTGACTTCAATGCTCAATAGGTATTTGTCTAAAATTACATTTTTACAGTTACATTCCCGTTTCCTGAAGTGATTTCTAAATAATAGTGATCTGCTAAAATGCTGCTTTACTCAGACTTTTTACGCCCACCGTTCATCGTTACATACCAGCTTACCGTAGGCATTTTTGCAAAAACCTCAAAAATGTTTACTGAAGTACAAAGGTGTGAATAAAATCTGTCAGTGTCAAAGTAAAATCATTAAAAACTTGTTTAAATAGACTAACAGACCACCATGAGGGAATGAGTAATCTTTAGATGTTCCAACAGATAAAGTTTTTGAAAAAACTTTAGATTTTTTACATAACAATCACCCTCGTTGAGTGTAAATACAAATACAAATTTTTTATAAATAGTTTTTATACGATAATGTTTATGAGTTTTAAAACTAATGGTAATCAAATCAAACTAGAATGAATACCTTTCTTAGTTTGGTAAAGGGTTTAATGACAGAAATTTTGAACTTTACAATAAACCCGCAGATCATGAATTTGTTCTAGAGAATAATGACAACGATGATTACTGAGAAAATGCACCCGAGAAACAAAATTTGATCCACATACTGCTTTACTGAACGTTCCCGATGAATGTGAGCTTTGATCCCATTAAACTTGTGACTGTGTTTCGGACATAATTTAGATAAAAGTTCGGGATGAATCATGTTCATGTGTTAAAAATTTGTTGACGCAGACTTGGAACAAGTGAACAACCAAGTTCAAAAATATAACGAAACAATATGACATTCAATGCTGTCAATAATGTACATTTTTTTAAGGAGTTCTATACAAACTAACTCTCTCCAATGCCATTCATTACGAAAAATCGATATCTGCAATTTCTAGGGATTCATTGATGGCATTAAATATTTCGATTCTGATTAGTATAATCAAGGTAGCATTTTAAGTATAGCATGTAGGACTTCACATACATTGGAGCCTGTTTACGCTTCATTTGATCAGGCGCTTTTATTAACTTATTTAATAGACAGAGTCATCCGTATAGCAATAACTTATCTGTACTTTTATGCTTTTATTATTGTCGCGTTTGCATGAGCAGGTATGATTGAGCATTGATTACCATCTACACAAAATTTCACTCTACTCGCTTTAATGTAAGTCACTTAAATAATCCGATGACTAATTCATATTCCTGTGTACATATGTGCAGATTTTGACCATACTCACTCGCTCACTCGCTAGCTCTTCAGCATTCGCATATCGTTTTGGCTTCATGTACCTGTGGTTTTGTGACCTGTGTGTGGTGCGATGCTAAACGTAATCAATGCGTCTTCTGATTTATACACCTTTGGCTGTCATGTAGTAAAGGTTATCAGGACAAGCTGTATACGAAATTTAGAACTATAACGGTTACCGACCGCCAAAGAACTAGTGAGCCTACATCCACCACAAGCATTTTCAAACCGTAAAAAATATTTTCACCGGCATAGCAGGTAACATAAACGGTATTATTTACTCCTTCCCAACAGTCCATTGACATTGATCAAATAAAAATCGAAGTTTCATACATATATATATATACGACTTTAATCGTTTGAAGTAATACATCAAATAAATTTGGTTCGTGAAATAATATAAACCTCTTGATAAAGTTCATACTAGGTGATATACTAAAAAATTAACTAACGGTTTTTTTTCAACAGATTAATGATTCGTTTTGTTCAATTTCAAAACTACGCTTCATAAATCCATTAACTAAACTCTCTTAAATGACATCGTTTTGAATATTTTTATGGGTGTTAACCATAATGACTAGTTTTAAAACTCTACTACTTTCCTTGAAAGAGTTTTTCTTTTTTTCTATAATTAACACACTAACTATTAGATATTGTAACAATTTATACAAACAAATTTAATTCTGCCTACTACTACTACTGCTACTTTGAAAGGAAGTTAAACATTGTATTGCTAGAAAAAAAATAAGGAAAACTCTTCTAAAATACTTCCATATACTAATTAGGCTTATTCATATACTAATGGTTGCTATTTTTACTCTAGCATTTATGACACTATATCAAACAACAATGCATATACACATAAAGGATCAGTGGTACTGTGAAAGCAATAGTGTTTATTTAGGTGGTTGGTGTATTATACGCTTACAGTGATAATAGGCTTCAAAGTACACCTTAGATCTAAGTATGTTTCTCACTTAGGAGAGCTAATTAGTTATATATATATATATATATATATATATATATATATATAAAAGCGGAAAATCAAACATTGTAATTATGGTAGCACAAGTGAATGAATGTTCATACTTTTTGTTACCATTTCATCTCAATTTGAAAAAATACTACTCACTGGAGTAGAAAAAACAACGATACAATTATTCAATTTTTTATATCATTTCCTTTTATGCCAGAAATATATACACTTAATTTGGTTTTTCTTTGGCCTATAATTTAAAAAAAATGTCAATCAGAATTTTCTAAAACTGTAAATAATTTCAGCAGTGTTTGAGTACTACTATTTTAGCATCAGAAATTAATGAATGCACGTGTATTTGCTACTTATACCAGTAAGTAAAAATAGATTTTCATTTGGTGGTAAGATATTTTGATTCTGCAAATTAAAACTTTACACTTTGCAATTGACAAAAGAAAATAGATATTTCAGTCTGATTCAAACAGCAATATTACTAGTACAATTTGATTTGCGAATAAGACAATGTATATGTCAAAGTGAACAGAAAGGATATTTCTACTTTGTTAGTGTTGCTAGGCTGTCAGGTGTATCTATGAAAATTACAAAAACCTAAACTACTTCGACTGTCTATCATGATTTAACTGTAGTTTTAGTAAACTGATTCAATTTAGTTGGTTGTATAGCCGAATAATATACTATGCGATAATATTCACTCTAAGACAAATGCCTTCTAATAGATTAGAATAAATCTTTTTTATATAGCGTTTCAGCTAGGTACTGTCAGCTTAAAAATACTTATTTAATCCTGCCAGATCTATATGAAAGCTGTTTGACCGATACGATTTCATGATAACAAATACATTTGATAGATTTATCAGAATTGACCAACCAATTGATTATAAAAGCTCTATCCATTCACTATTTATCTACGATAGATTTCCGTAGTACTGCTCAAATAAAAGATTTCTTCGATAAAAACACTGTCTCCTTCTTATTATCGTCCATTGACACAATAGGTTACTGCATCTTCTAATATTAAAACTGAATTTTTCTTTGGTTCACATTTCTCCGTAATATATAAAATAAACTTAACAAACTCCTATTGTTCATGAAAGTACAAGTTCACACAAACTTGAGCAATGTAGATTTTACTAAGGATCAGTTAGTTGACTAGAATATTTTCTTTATGAACACCTAATTTCCATTTTATTCTAGATAATATTTTAAAAATTATATGAGCGCATTTAAACATTGGTATTCTGCCCTTCGGGGCAATTGAACCTCAAATATGTCATTATGACTTTCATTAATGTTAGGCAGCAAGTTTTCAGGTCCCATAATACATAGTTTTAAGCTTAGTTTATTCGGCTTAAAAGTAATTACTTAGATTTTCATTTCACCGAACCCAAACATATGTGAGTTAGTTTCCTTTCAAAACTTTCAAATGGTTGTAGAAACTGTGATTTTACATTTGCACTGTAGATAGCACCGATTCACACGACATACCAATTAAAAAGAATTTATTATGTAAATCAGGAAAGAGTTGTGTTCTTTTAGGTTTCAACCGTATCTTTTTAGTCATCGGATAGTTAAGTTTTATGTGCGTTCAATGAGAATTACTATCGTCGAAAGTCATATTGTAAATACAAGACTGAGAGAGAGATTTGAGTTAAACATTCTTTACAATTAAACTAAAGAAGAATTTAAGGGCATGTCCAACTTTTCTAGCATTCGTTTTTGATACATTCAGTGTACATATGATATCATTTTATGCATTACGTTTCAAAATTCGTTCTGTTTTTTTTTTAAAAAAATACGTGCATGAATGCTTTCTCTAATATTTCATGTGCCTAACTGATAAACTTCTCAATCTTTTTTTAATAGTTAAAAGATACCCCATCTGCTCATATATTAGTCACTCCTCTTGTGAATTCGCTTAATCATGCTTTACCGTTTGTTTATTTGTTTTATTTGTTAATTGAGTTGGTTATTTACCCGGAAAATCAAACTTTTGCAGTAGCAGCATCATCATCATCAGCATCAATCCGATGTTTGGTAATTTTTATAATTAACTAGATAACATTAAAGTGAACAACATTTATACTTCTGTAATTTTGAGACATTTATCTTCAAGCTAATCTGAACAACAACAACAACATAAACCCGTCTAATTCATTACAATTCATCATACCGCACCACAGGTTCAGTGAGCACCACCACTCCATCATATATATATATATATATATATATATATATATATATATATATATATATATTTTCCTAGTCAATAAATAATGAAGATGGCAGAGTTTAAGTATATTATGCCTTATGTCCTCTTTATTACCACCAGTCCACTTGTTTACTTCTAGACAGATGTATTAAAGATAACTAATCGAGGTCACGTTATCTTTTAATATTGGAATAATAGGAAATGTGAACAATTAGAAAAAAAACGCCAATCCTAAATTCAATTAAGTGTGTAGTATAAATCTTGATTAGACTTAAAATTTCATTAAATAAAACGAAAACTAATAAATCAAAACAACTTAAAATCGTTCCATTGGTTTACCCTCCTTGATATAATCTATAATACATTGTTTCTTTTAAACAATATTGTCACTCAGTGAAAATAATTCTCATTTAACATAGTTTATAGTTGTTTATTCTACGAAAACAAACAACAGTTACCGTCAAAAAATGTTTCAGCAGTCTTAACCTATTTAGTTGCAAAGTATATTGTTCAACAGAGTAATTGATTATGTTTATAAGTAAACGCAACTGTGCTACGTTCGCATGATGGTTTATAGATTACGGTATTAAATGATAACTAAGAAACTAATTAAACTAAATATTTTAGTGGTGAATACTTTAATATTTTGTGTCTAATCCTTTCAAATTATTTTAATAACTTGGGATATACCAATGAAAGTAGGATACATTTAATCGGTTTTGATTCTAACGTAATATGACATCTTAGCGCATATTTTATAATTGATAGTGCGGACTTTAAAATGCTTTTTTAATGCTTTTTACTTTCGGAACTTGGCTGGAAGAAGTGGGATGACGATTATTAACCGGAACATTGAATGAAAACCACGAAGCTTTTAGAAGTCCATTTAAACGAAAATAATTAACTGACTTTCTTTAAGAAGAGTAGATCAAAATGATGATATTGAGATCCACTGAAGGTACAATAATAATTGTTTTCATCTTTAAAAAAAATGTGGACAGCTCACAAAACCTCTTGATCGAACAACTAACAGTAAACTGAAAAGGTTTTGTGTTAAATAAAATCTTATCAGAACCATTCAACAACACAATTGTATTTCGATGCGCTAAACTGAAGCAGTTACAAGAAAAATATTAACGGAATTATGTTACATGAACGATATTGTTTCGACAGTTTTGAATAAATAGATTATTTACTTAGATCTCTTGCAGACAGTTCAAGTAAACAGAAGAAAATTGAACCAATTAGCACCAATACACAACATTACTAGATGAGTGATAAGTGTTGCCATTCGTACTAGTAACTTATTCCGACACTATGTATCTCTCCAAAAGTGAATGATGAACACATAACTTATTATGTTATGTCATTTACACACGTAGACTAGTGTATTGTACACATTATTAATGGATAAATAATTTTCAGATTTAGTGATTTTGAATATTATGTTGACGGTTTCATTTATCAGATTGAATTTTAAAATTCGACGAAGGTGCACAAACTCATCATACTAGACAGTAATATCAAGTTTCCTAGTTATTGTTTTCCGATAACTTCACCTAGTAGTAAAAATCTAATTGTCTTTTTAATAAAATTAACTAATATCTTTGGTGAAATTTATAGTTTCCTCTCTTTATGTAACCAAGGTAAATTACTTGGTCATTGTACCTCTGATAAATGTTTTTCTGCACTACTACACTATGTATTGCACATGTTATAGTAGTATTACGTTTATAATAATATGGTTCGTCTATTAAAAGTGATGTCCCCATGTGGCTTTTTCAGTTTGAAAGCTTCAGTACCTAAATAAGTGTGTTTGTTTAACATTTTCATTGTGTTCTTTTTTTCTCATTAAAATACATTCAGAATGAGGACAAATTACTGTAAGTGTAATAAGTCAATAATTTTTTGGAAAAAATAACATTAGAAATTATGCTAACTAACATGTGACTAGATGTTATCATAATAAACACCTACAGTAAATTCACTAGGAATTTTACTGCCAAATCATTCAAGTTATAAATGGTAATAAATTGTACAAATAAGTAGGAAAATCTAACTAAATCTAATTGGCTTCATATATTAGAATCATCAATGTTTTTAATCCACTTGTTTGAAGACTTGAAATAAAATAAAAGTTGATTTACTTGATTTTACATTTCAAACAGTTTTTTAAGATAAACACCGACAGTATTAACGTGAATTTCAGCAAACTGTCAACACCAACTACTTTTTTAAATTTCCCAGTTGAAATTTCTAGACTGTTAGACAACTAAGTAATGGAGTTACTGATTTCATTTAAATTTATTTACAAAATTCCTGATCATATACTAAAAGACATGTGAAAAGTTTTTGTAAAATATAATTCCAACACGACATTTTATGACTGATTTAACTTTTAGTACTACATTATAGTTTGATCCTACTTTTTTCCAGGTTCTTCCAAAACCTAATTTACTGGAACATTGCATTTCTCCATGTGCACGGCTGATGCTTCATATTTTTCAAAATCCTCAAGGAATCAAAATTGTTAAGACTATTCAAAGCTCAGTTGTTCTTTAAATATGTACTAACACGTAAGATATTTTAGTACAATTAATATTCATGTTACATTTGAGAGGTGCATGATAAGCTAGAATAAAAAATGAAATAACTTACTTCAGGATCAGGATCTCCTTCAGGTGGTAGGCATGTTAGCACAAGACGTTTACTGACAGCCAAATCTGTCGAAACTGGTTCTAGTTGAAACTTTTCGTCCAAGTCTAAGTAGATGGAAAAAAAAGATATCCCCTTAGGATGATAAATTTTCATGTGAAAATGGTAGAGCTAAGAATTACTAATGACAAGTTAAAAATTTCATGCATATGGCTTTCGATGACAAATGGATGGCTTTAAAAATAGTATTCACACAATGTTTGCTACTGAGTTTGTAAGAAAGCCTTGTTTAACGAACTCGGTAAGCATCTTTTATAAATATAAATACAACTAAGTACTTGCCACGGTAACATAAGATTTGATCAAAGAATCACAAATAGGATAAAAATATGCCAAAATTGCCTTATCCTAATCTGTGACTGTTAGGCCTTTTAAATAAATTTCATTTATGAAGCAACAATTATCCATCCCTGCTGAGAAGCTTTATATTATGTAGCTAAATGCTCTTCGAAAAGTTTGAGCTACAACTTAGTCTTTTTTATGAAGTGCAACTATATCAAGGATAATACCTCCGGGTAGGAATGTATGAGGGCATGAAAAATATGCTGTAATTGTGTAACTATCAAGTTGTTTTTCCAACTAAATCGAAACTTCTGACTTTAATTATGATTGAAAACAACTAACGCTATTACGAATTACAGTTGGATAAGCAAAATCAAGTTTTACTTAATAAATTATGTATGAATTTAACCGTTTAAATTTAAATTGATTCATCATTCAGTGAACGCAATAAATAAAATATATGAAATCAATATGCTGATGGAGTCGAAATCTTAGATAGTAAAAACAACGTTTTGATCTGAAAATTTATTTCAAACAAAATATAAACAACCTATGGATTAGTATAATGTGTTTAATAATAATGGTAATAATAATAATAAAGTCAAATTATTACCAACTACACACTATAAACAGGTTTATAATGCTGAAAACTGTTTCAAACATTGTGATATTTCATGGTAGGCTTTTAATGATTAAACTCTCTAATCTATCAGCGTTGAATTTTATATTTTGATTGATTTATTTTATTATTTGAAAAAAAAACTATATGACACGATGACAAAACACCTGACTGGTTTCGGATCTCACTTTTAAACCAGAATACATCCGACTGATAAGTCCCAATCAATGGGGAATATATCTGGATTGTTCTTCTAGCTACGATCCGTCCATCTTTAATATTGTTTAATAGTTTACTGAATAAAGTTACCATTATATGCACCTAAGGATGCTACAATAATCAGTTCTAACGAAAGTGAAGTTGTATGAAACAACTACTGAAAGTCTGATAACATGAGTGTAAGAAGTAGTGAAATTTTTCTTCATTAGGTACAGTCTCTAATTATTAACACAACTGTTCAGAACACTCTTTCATTAGATGTTTATTTTTTAGATCTTCTTGATTAATGCAAAACATAAAATCACAAATCCAGATTAACTATCGTTGTCAAGAATCATCCTACTGAAGTTTTTTTCATCTTAACTAGCAAAAAATAATGATGTCTATACACTAACTAACAAACAATACTGTCAATGTAACAATAGGTGGTGGATTTAAAATTTTATGTCAATAAAACAACCAAGCACACATTCCACTTTCATTTGATTTAGTTAAATTTCACTGTGAGTATTAAACTAATTTTCAACTAAAAACTTTCATCCAGTTGAATAATCGAACAGCATTAAATAATTCTTTATAATTTACAATATTTTAAAGAATTTCATACCCATAAATCTTTTCCTTAAAAAGAAATATATCATCTTTTATACTTGAGATGGATTATGTTAGTACTATGAAATTGTGTAAGATGATTTTACTAGCTGATAAGTTGTTTTTAAATCATTCATCAAACACTCGTTGTTGTTGTTGTTCTTATCAGATAAAGTAGGAACATGAATCGCACTGAGTCAATTAGTCAAACTATACATGTTATGAATGTAATAAGTTTATTTTAAAAAAGCCATGAATAAAATGGCGTTGAAATAGGGGAACATGGAACTGTTACTGTTAACATTAGAATGAGTCATATGATTTCGCCAAGAAGATATATATATATATATATATAATATATTGAACAGCACTATAAAATGCATGACATAATCAGATTAACATACAGACAGAATGTTTGTTCTCAATCAAATCATTGTATAATTCTTTTCAGATGTGTGTTTACACAACAAGTGTGATTTTTAACAGACGTGTTATAAAAATTAAAAAAAAAAAGAAATCCATTCGAAACATCGAAATACACTGCATTGCTAAATCTATATGGAATATTTTAAAATAATCATAAATTAAGAACATGCTTCGCCAGGTTAAATTGACCTTTCTGAAGTTTCACCCTACATTGATAAATATGCACCATTTAAATAAAGGAAAAAAGTTTTAATTGAAGCCTATGAACGTATGATGCGATTTTCATGGATTGATTGTGGTCTTCATGGAATTCTACCAAAATCATATCTATTCTTTCTGAGAAGAGAATATAAACACATAGATAAATTTAAGTTATTCAACCAGAATTGAACTGATGACTGTTTAAAATTCCACGTTGAAAAGCCACCAAACAGTTATTGATCGTAGAACAGTTAAAAATGATCTGTAGTAGAATGAAATTAATTACTATAGAACCGCTAGGAAGTCGGAAACGAAAGTACTCTGACGTGAGTACAGCTCGTTTTCATGACAAAAAGGAACCGAACTGGTGATTTTCCATAAGTTCTTGTAAAAACACTCTGACAAATAGTTTTTGTATATTCACCTGTTTTGGTTTACAGTTATCAATTCAACAAAACAACCTATCATTCAGCAAACGTTACGCTTTACACCAATTCAACAATTCTCATTAATCATCTCATATTGTCATGATGTCTTTCTTCGTCATTTTGCTCTCGTATGATATAATATCTTTCTGATTAGAGGTTTCGTTTTTGTCAAACGGTAATGTAGCAGCTTGTGTTATTCATGTGTATAGAAAGTAGAGATTCAGTCAACAACAAAAAAAGAAACAAACTTGAAGAGCTCTGAGATATATTTTATTACGAAATGGTAAACAGAAAATTCAATGGTACGAATGCTGTGAAACGAATTGAAGCTGAACAGTTGAATCATGATGGCATTCATATTATTTTAGTTTGAAATTTCAAAACGATTAGCTAATGGTATTTACCATTGTCACTGGTAATGTTGAAATTAGGACTAGTGTACTTGTTTTTGTTTTACAAAACTCATTTAAAATGCATTAAATTTAACACAAAGCATCCTAATTTCAAAAAAATGCAATGAATTAGAATGGAGAAAAAAAATAGAAAGAAAGAAATCAATTATCCGCTAATGACTCATTGATATGTATATGACAGGAGTGATTTTTAAGGTTAACTAAAAAAAGTCAAAACTTGTGTAGTGTACACACACACACTATTTAAAAATCCAATTTAAATTTATTGTTTCCTTCTCATTTTTTTCAATGAAATTTCTTGTCTAATCTATGCACTGATGTGTTTGTGTCAATAAAACTTACTTACTTGTTGAGGTATGATGCACTTGTTTACTAGAATCCACAATAAAAAGAAATAAACTAATATATTTTTGTTTTTTTTTAAAAAAATACTACAACAACATTGAAGTTTTGCATTGAATACACACAATTTAAAAAATGATAATATTTAGATGAGACGATAATGTGAACGAAACCAAGGTCATGGTTTACATCTTTTACTTCGGGTGGAAATTGACGAATAAATTTTAAAATTCAAAAATTACTATTGTTTTATTTTTATTGGTGCATTATTCCAGATCATGTTTGTTAGATCATCTCCATTCATTTCTTCTTCTTCTTCTGTTTTTATTGACAATATTTTGTATCAGCAAGTGATAATTCCACTGTGTAATTGAATCACTACTTGACCGTGAACATGTTGAAGCAAGTAAACTAGACAAACATTTCAAAATGTTCGCTAATAATTCATACCACACATTCAATGCATCATCTCTGACGTTTCTCAGCTTTTGTCAACTATATGTATTTGACAGATAACTTCACAGAGTTAAAATTACCTCATTTTCTAACAATCATAATTCTAAATAATATAAGTTGGTAGGCATATGAGTAGTGACTGATGACAAAACTGATCGGTATTTTTTCCATTAGAATCAGTCAAACTTATTGAATTTCAAAGGTTTATGTATGCCCTGCCGATAACCTGCATTTCCCTTTTTAATACAACGTGGTAAGTAATTCATGTGTATTCCTTTTTAATATCTGATGAATTTGGATAGTATTTTTGAAAATTAATTACAAATGGTTTGAAGTTTTTCAGGGAACAGTAGGTGAACTAATATTTATTTCTACTGCCATCAAGTTATGACTATAGAAAACTGGTGCCGTTCAATCGACCACAATGCATGAATTAATAACCGAGTCTAAAAATTGGCTGATTTTTCCTTTCACTGTTCAATTTTTTTATACAGCTCATAGAATCAGCTGAAGATTGGTTATCGCATTCCAGATGTCACCCATTTTTACGGGGCAAGAGTTATTATCAAAAATATGAAGACACTGAGGAGAATGAGAAACTGTGTTTTAGAATTCACTCTCACGACTGTAAATACATCCAGTTTGAAAGAAAAACTCTTGCGACAGATTATTTATGTTTAACTTTTTGGCACAAGTATACTTTATACTCATCACATATAATTTTCCGTCTTTTTTTCAAGCTGGTAAGGCACTCTTAATCAGATCAAAATTCATTCATAAGTGATGCTTGTTGAGTGTGAAATTATATCTTCATATTTATATGAGCTGTCATATCAAATTAATTATCTATGACGGCTGTAATAACTTCATAAAGTTCCATTATCATACTCACTCTATGAGCTAAATAAATATGCTTGCCATTTAGATAAAAAAAAGTTTTATAAGTGTAAAATTCTTTAGTTTGTACTAAGTTCATTCATTTTGAAAATAATTACGTTTATGATTTAGTTGAGTTTGTATGACAAGAATCACTCTCGTTTGGTAGTGATTGTCTGAAGTGAATACATAAC